CGCGATGCGGCGCGTCTCGCGCAAATGCCGGGGCGCCGGCGGGTGCGGGCGAGCGGGAGCTCGGGCGGCGCGAGCCGAGGTTGTGCATGTCCTTGTCCACGGGGGGGGCGTCGCCGCGTCACGCCAGTGTTCGCCAGTGTCACTAACACTATCAGATATTTCGGTAGGAGAACACTTAAACTGTCAGGCAGAGTCGCCCGGGGTGCGGGGAGATACACAGAACACACCCACACACCAGACACGAGACCGCACGGGGGAGCAGAGGAAGTCCAGAGGAGTGCGAATACCAATACGTCCCGAGATCGGCCGCGTCAGAGCAAATGTGCACATTCGTACGGGCCTGCAGCGGCTGGTCCTGATGCGCACGCCGTGAAAAAAAATGGGTTTTTACTGCCGGCAGCCTCAGATGCACGCCGTGGGAAACAGAACTCCAGGGCATGCCCTGCGTGCGTGCGCGGGGCGGGGCGGGCGGGGCGTTTTATGTTCGTACGTCGGCCATCTGTACATCTATTTATTTACATAATGCTCGGCACGACGGTACGGAGCGCGGCCGCCGTGCGCCCGAGAAAGACCGCGCAATATGCTGTAATTTTTATCATGCGTGATAGCGAGCCATCCCGGAGAGACGCGGTGAAAGCGAGCCCGACACTGTCAGGCGAGACGCCTCCCATGTCGAAGTCGCTGTTCCTCTGCCTGGCCATCTGCAAGACCGTCTTCGGCCTCGCCGGCAACGACCTCGGCTCGGACGACGTGAAGCTCGACGTGGAATGGCTTGAGGCGTCGTCCGACTGCCACAATCTCCCCACGAACGCTACGCGCCAACAGTCGCACACGATCAACCCCCGCATCGGTGACATGAGCTGGGCGCTTTCCAAAACCTCCGATTATGACAAAGCGCCAAACGAAGCAAGGGTCGTGTGCCACCTTCAGTTCGCTCTTCAAAACGTGCTGAAGGCGAGGGGGAAGGCTCGCGCGGCGTCCATTCTCAAGGCTTACATCGAGAAGGGCGAGTTCCCTCAGCACGACATCGAACCAGCGCAAGGGACTGTCATGCTCGGGGCCGTCAAAGGCGTGTCCACAGCCGCAATCCGGAAGCCCCTGTTCATCGACGCCCACGGCACACCGTGCGCGGTCGCGTCCCTGATGCAGCAGACCGCACACGCCGGCCTGGCTAGCCGCGTGTCCCGCGCTTGGAGCA